TGATTACCACAAACAGGCAAATTGACATATCCATCATCTCACAGCTACAATTTAGTTTTTCTGGTGAGACTAATTAAGATTGACTTAGTGAATTTCAAGTATACAACACAGTACTGTTAACCACCATCATCATGCAGAGCATTAGATGCCCAGAACTTACTTATAACTGAATATTTTAACCCTTTTTCTGAAGGACAGTTTTGTCAGATAGAGTATTCCTGGTTGGCAAATTTTTCTTTCACAAGAAAAATATATCATCTCATGCCAAAAAATCCACTTACAGCCTTATGGGGTTGCTTTGTATGTAGTGAGTTGTTTTCTGTCATACTCCTTTCAAGAGTCTCTTTTGGCCTTTGACTTCTGACAATTTGTATAACATGTTCCAAAGTAACCTTGTTCGGGTCCTTTTAGCTTCATCTGGATATCCATATCCTCTTTAAGATTCAGAAAATTTTCAGCCATTATTTTTAAAATAAGTTTTCTTCTTTCTTTTTCTTTCTCCTGTTTGGACTTCTAAGTCATGTATATTCATTTGTTTAATGCTGTTCTCTAGGTCTTGCATGATTTTGCCACTCTTTTGCATTCTTATTTTTGTTCCTACAACTAAAGCTAAATAACCTATTTTCAAGTTGGCTGATTCTTTGTTCTTCACAATTGAGTCTGCACTATTGAAACTCTCTATCAAATTTTTGGTTCTGTCACTGTAGTCTTCAGCTCCAGGATTTCTGTTTGACTCCTTTCATGGTTTCTATTTCTCTATTATACTCCTTGATCTATTAAGTACTGTTTTTTTTAAAAATTTTATTTAGTTGTCTATCAATGTTCTCTTGCATCTCAATAAGCTTTTAAAACATGATTTTAAAAATTATTTTTAGAAAACTGGTCTTTTTCCATTTATTTGGTTTGGTTACTAGGGCTTTACTAGTTTCCTGTTGTGATATCATGTCTGCCTGATTCTCTGTGATCTGTGTAGCCATGTATTAGTATGTGTGCATTTGAAGGAGCAAACATGTCTTCTGGTGTTTGTAGATTGGTTTTGGCAGGTAAACACATTCTTCTGTTGGGTTCCTGGGCTGACAGAATTGCCTCTGGGAATTCAGTGAAGCAGAAGTAAAGCCAGGTCATTTCAATTATGGTTTCCTCGGGTATATGCCCAGGAGTGGGACTGCTGGATCATATGGCAGTTTTATTCTAGTTTTTTTTAAGGAATCTCCATACTGTTCTCCATAGTGGCTGTATCAATTTGCATTCCGACCAACAGTGTTAGAGGGCTCCCTCTTCTCTACAGCCTCTTCAGCATTTATTGTTTGTAGACTTTTTGATGATGGCCATTCTGACCAGTGTGCAATGATACCTCATCGTAATTTTGATTTGCATTTCTCTAAAAATGAGCAACATTGAGCATCTTTTCATGTGTTTCATTTCTTGTTAAAACACATCCATGTCTCCTCACTCCAATTTTTTTTTTGTATTTGTATTTTTCAAAACAATGTTACTGTGGTGTATTTTACATATCATAAAATCTACCTTTTCAAGTACACAGTTCAATGTTTTTTATTAATTTTACCAAGTGGTGTAGTTATCACCATAGAAGAGTTTCAGAACATTTTCACTGCCTTAAATAACACCCCTCTGGTGTTATTTAAATGTATAGCTACTCTCTTATACAATCTCTTATACAAGAGAGTATAGTATACTCTCTTATACTCTGTTATACAATCACAGTCCCCTCCTGGCTCCCAACCCCTAGACAATCATAAATCTGTTTCTATGAATTTGCCTTTTCTGGCCATCTCATATAAAGGGAATCATACAATATGCCTATAGTTTCTTGACTCTACAGAACAAAACTAAAAATTTTTTTTGGTCTTTAAGAAAAATCACACATTCAAGGAAATGCATAACCTTTCAAATAAAACATTACAATAAATATTGTTAAAAATCTAAAAGACCAAAAATAATCCTCTTAAGTTCTAAAATTAAAATCTGAAAATAATATAGTAACTACAGTGTTAGAAACATGAAAAATGATCATTTATCTATGTCACATGTTGAAATAGATAATAATATAGCTATCCCTGAAATGTTAAATCATTTTAACATCTTAAACTTTACATATACTATGTATTTTCCCTTTCTCTTTTTAGGCTGGATGTGTGACTTTCTCTTCCAGGAGAATTTTTAAACAGCCTGTTTACTAACATACAGGTTAATACTTATAGTTTAGTTCTTGTGTAAATGACAAAACAAATACTGTCCTTGATATTTTTAAAAGAAGAAATATAAGATTACTACCATGTAGGAAGAAGAACTGGAATGTTCCAGCCTTGCTTAAGGGATGCATGTGTCCAACAACATCCTCATTTCTGTGTGTGCCTCTGACCTGCCAAACTTAGGCATTGTACTTACAATGTGGAGAATGACGACATTTATTCTTTCAAAGTTGGCATGTCAGAATAGAAGTTATGCTTTTCAGACTACTGTGAATTTTGATAATGCATGCATCTGGATTACAAAAAAAAGAAAGAATTCTTGACAATATTTTAGGAATTGATGCTGTCAGTTTTAGATGATATAAATGGACAAGCTAAATGTCTTTACTGAATGAAGTGAACCTATCACTAAGCATGTGTCTTTGCCTGGGAATTCAGTATAAAACAGCTCCACTGAGCTCTAACAAAATCAAGAGAAAGTGTATTCCTAAGTTTTCCTCAAGCCATTCTAATTATGAGAGAAAGATTCTATGAACACTAGAAAAATGATTGTTTTCTATATGATTTGAACTGTGGTGTTGGAGAGGACTCTTCAAAGTCCCTTGGACTGCAAGGAGATCCAACCAGTCCATTCTGAAGAAAATCAGTCCTGAATATTCGTTGGAAGGACTGATGCTGAAGCTCCAATACTTTGGCCACCTGATGCAAAGAACTGACTCATTTGAAAAGACCCTGATGCTGAGAAAGATTGAAGGCAGATGGAGAAGGGGTTGACAGAGGATGAGATGGTTGGATGGCATCACCGACTCAATGGACATGAGTCTGAGTAAACTCTGGGATTGGTGATGGACAGGGAGGCCTGGCGTGCTGCAGTCTATGGTGTTGCGAAGAGTTAGACATGACTGAGCAACCGAACTGAACTGAACATCCTCAAAGCCAATTTTAGACAATTACAGAAATACAGAAAAATGTTATTCATATAAATAAATAATTTTTCAAGATAGAAGTCAGTCAATAAGCAATAAATGATAGTGAACTCTCTGAACTCTCAAAACATCACATTTTAAAGTGTGCTACTCCCTTATGCTTTTATTTTTACTGCCACTATCTGTAGAGTAGAAAAATAATGAACACTTGCTGATTAAAATTCACACTTCTGTTACATCTCAAGAAGCAATGGGGCTATGTTTAAGATTTGAAACTAAGAAGAAAAATGATCAAAGTCAGCCAACCTGGGAAAAATCACTGAACAAGGTCTAAACTCTAAAAATTTCAAGTTATCAAGAACATGCTGTTAGCCGAAAACCAACTCTCAAAGCTCTAGAAATCAAACTTATTGTTGAAAAATCACAGGACAGACACTTCCTCATTCTGGACATTTCAGTACCAAAGGTTCTTTCCTAGTGTTATCTTTGTTGTTAACTGATACTGTAATTTTGTTGAAAATCAAACTGTTATGTATATTGCAATGATTTTAATAAGTGCAAACAGAATGACTTTATTCACTGCTTTGTAAAGTCAATCAAGCTTATCAGATAGGGCTAACAAAAATAGATTTTGCTGAATTGCCCCCATTTTTTTTCTTTAGTAGGAGCAACTAAAAAGTAAATCAATACTGATTGATGAAATGCTTCTTGACAATTCCTTGGAAAAAAGTTGGTAAACCAAAATGAATGCTGTATTTAGTGAATAAGGGCATACAATATACTTAATACACACTGCCACACTTTGTGGTTAAGACTGAGGCAACCAATAAACTGTTAAGGAGAAAAATGGAAATGTCCCTAAGAAAAAATTTAGAGAAACCTGTTGCTGCTGCTGCTAAATCGCTTCAGTCGTGTCTGACTCTTAGCGACCCCATGGACTGCAGCCTACCAGGCTCCTCTGTCCATGGGATTTTCCAGGCAAGAGTACTGCAGTGGGTTGCTATTGCCTTCTCCAAGAGAACCTGTGTATGTGTACAGAACATACACACACACTATTTTTCCCTGGTTCAAATTTATGAACTAAACAATAACTTGTTCTGGAAAGCAACTGCAAATGAAAACAGCTTCATAAGTTCATTTTTGAAATAAAAATCAGCATACTATCTATTCTGTTACTCCAAAGACATAGAAAGGATTTACATTTTGTTTTTAGTGAAATTTATTGTAATGATTTTTTTAAATTATAGAAATAGGTTTTAAGTTACAAAAACAGATGAAAAACTTTTAAAAGGAAAAATTCTATGTTAGAAATAAATAAGATTCAGACCCCATTTTACCTATTTTAAGAAAATCATATGCCTTTTTCCTCAAGTATATCAATGAAGTTTGCTTTTAGGTTTAACAAGCAACCTAATGCTTAAAAGGCAATATTCAAAATGTGTTAGTGAGAGTTGGTTCTAGTAACAACTGTGAAATCCCCTTTAACTGCAGATAACATTGACCACTGAACATACTATGAAAAGGCATCCAAAAAAATAACTCTTCCAACATTTAATGTGAAGCTAGCATAGGTTGATTAACTAAATAATTTGTTTTAATCCAAAAAATAAAATATAACAAACCAGGAATGCTTCTGTGATAAGAACTACCAGTCAGAACATTTTCAAAAGTTACAGTAAATTTTAAACAGTTTTACTGATCGGACACGACTGAGCGACTTCACTCACTCACTCACTCACTCACTGATCTGTATCCTGATGACCCTGGTGGTGGATATGTGTAAACACACCTACTTATGAGGGCCTGTACATTAGCACAGATGATGGCATACATGACACATAAACAAAAGAAACACGCTAACCTGGACAGCAACTTGGGAGCATTAGCATCCTCTGCTGAACTCATGTCATCCCAGCAGGATTTTCTCCGACTTAGCTGCAGGCTGACCTGAGGAATGCCCTCAGACAGCTCTGGGTGTGGTGCCCTGTGGGTCCAAATAGATCCCTCACTACTGGATTTGTGGATCTAAAACACAAAATTATAAAAAGAGAGAGGAATTTTTAAAAAGTTTACAGTTAAGATACTGTAAAGATAGTTTATAGAAGATAGTTTATTTGAATTCATTAATAATCTATTAATTATACTCCAGAAAAATATCAATCGAGATATAGAAATAAAAATGTGTATAAAAATTCTTTTATAGCAAAGGGTACAATGAAGGGGTGATACCAATATTTCTGAGGGGAACTTCAAACCATATATGATCCACACACAACTCCTGGACTCTCAAACCAATTTTCCCCAGGCCTAACACCTCCTTAGAATACCTGTTCTATGTAATGAGAGGTTATGAGACTATATAAGATGGAAACCTAGAAGAAAAGAATAGCTAGCTAGAAAGAAGCAAAAGAAAATAAGTCTGAGAACCAGTGAAATAAAGAATTCCAGTGTGGGAAAGTTATCCAGAAATATTCACTACCAACAAGCAAAATACATACCAGTTTTCAAGTTTCCATTGTAATCTTTTGTAGGGCAAAGCATGGTGTAATAAATTTTGAATTAAGGAAATAAATATGAAAAACACCACCTTTTTACTTTTCTTCTATCTCTGGAATCATGGACAACACAAATGCCAAATGAGTACAGACTTTTTATACTTGAGGTCTCTCCAACCCCAGAAATACTGTCACATTCTCTTATTTTAGGTCAGAAAAAAATGAGAATACAATCAATATTCTTTTCCTAAAAATGTGTAAAAATCATGTCAGAATTGCAAGAAATTTTCAAAAACTTGGATTAATTGTATTTGTTACTCTGGAAGCTTTTTCTCACCTTGAGGACTGTCTCTTACTTGTCCTTTCACCTAGAATGCCATCTGCTGATCACTGACCAATGACCAACCAAACCAAATCTTAACTTCCTTTGAGGTTGAGATAAGAATCCACTGACCACAGAGCTTCACTAACTACTGTCGGCTCTAAATAATCTTTCCTAATTCTGAATTCCTATACCTCACCACCACACAATCTACACTTCATTACATGTCATATAATAGCGTAATCTTAGTTATCTTGAGTTTCTAGGTCACATGGTCTCAACCAGATTTCCCCTTATTCTTCTTTATATTATTTGTAACATTTTTATTGGGCTTCCTTGATGGCTCAATGGTAAAGAATCCTCCTGCCAATGCAGGAGACACAGATTTGATCCCTGGGTTGGGAAGATGCCCTGCAGAAGGAAATGGCAACCCACTCTAGTATTCGTGCCTGGGAAATCCTCTGGAAAAAGGAGTCTGGCAGGCAGTCCACGGGGTCACAAAAGAGTTGGACATGAGTTAGTGACTAAACAACAACATTTTTACCAAAAAGTCTAGCAAAGTTTTGAACCCATTAATAAACACTTATTGTCAGACAAACACTCAACTAGAAGATATTCCCAAAACACTGAGTGAACAAGAGGATAGGATAATGGACAATTAAAGAGAGTAACAAGAGAGTAGCACTGACATATATATACACTGCTGCTGCTGCTGCTAAGTCACTTCAGTCGTGTCTGACCCTGTGAGACCCTATAGACGGCAGCCCACCAGGTTCCCCTGTCCCTGGGACTCTCCAGGCAAGAACACTGGAGTGGGTTGCCATTGCCTTCTCCAATGCATAAAAGTGAAAAGTGAAAGTGAAGTTGCTCAGTTGTATCCGACTCTTAGTGACCCCGTGGGCCACAGCCCATCAGGCTCCTCCATCCATGGGATTTTCCAGGCAAGAGTACACTACCATGTGCAAAATAGATACCTAGTGGGAACCTGCTACATGGCTCAGGGAATTCAGCTCAGAGATGTGATGACCTAGAGGCGTGGGATAGGGGTGGGAGGGAGGGAGTATATGTGTACATATAGCTGATTCATGTTGTTGTACAACAGAAATTAGCACAACATTGCAAAAAAATTATACCCCAATAAAAAATTAAATATTAGGCTTAATGTTCAAAAAAATAACACGGGGACAATTATGAACATAAATATTTAATATATTCATACCACTATGAGGATTACATGAAAATAATTTAGCAAAGAGTTACATTTAACACCAAATAAACACTAAATAAAAGCTAGGCTTTACTAGTATAGTTGTTATGTAAAATCTGCCCAAATCTGATGATTATCAATCAACTCTTTAGTTGCATTTCTCTGCAGAATATTCATAAGTTCATGAAAATCAAAGGAAAAATTCTAAAAAATTATGAACTAACTATACCTCATAGCTGTACTAGCCAACAGTAGTACTTCCAAGAGAAATACTCAGGTAAACAGCAAAAGAATATGAAAAATATAAATACATGTGATTATATTTTTCATACAGGGGCTCCTTTTTCATGTGACTTTTCATAAGAATAAACATGAAATATCAATTAAAAAACACTGAAAAACTAGTGCATTTTCTCTCAATATTGAAATGAATGTAGGTTCAGTGAAAATTTGGGTTCTAAATTTGATTCAGCAATTTATGCAAAAAAATATTCTAAGGTACAAAAAGGTAATATGCATCTTATTCCATCTTGGCAGTTCATATTAAAATAGACTCCATAATGAACAGTATGAAAACGCAAAAAGATAGGACACTGAAAGATGAACTCCCCAGGTCAGTAGGTGCCCAATATACTACCGGACATCAGTGGAGAAATAACTCCAGAAAGAATGAAGGGATGGAGCCAAAGCAAAAACAAAACCCAGCTGTGAATGGGACTGGTGATGGAAGCAGGGTTTGAAGCTGTAAAGAGCAATATTGCACAGGAACCTGGAATATTAGGTCCATGAATCAAGGCAAATTGGAAGTGGTCAAAAAGGAGATGACAAGAGTGAACATCGACATTCTAGGAATCAGTGAACTAAGACGGACTGGAATGGGTGAATTTAACTCAGATGACCATTATATCTACTACTGTGGGCAGGAATTCCTTAGAAGAAATGGAGTAGCCATCATGGTCAGAAAAAGAGTCTGACATGCAGAACGTGGATGCAATCTCAAAAATGACAGAATGATTTCTGTTCGTTTCCAAGCACACCATTCAATATCACGGTAATCCAAGTCTATGCCCCGACCAGTAATGCTGAAGAAGCTGATGTTGAACAGTTCTATGAAGACCAACAAGACCTTCTAGAACTAACACCCAAAAAAGATATCCTTTTCATTATAGGGGACTGGAATGCAAAAGTAGGAAGTCAAGAAACACCTGGAGTAACAGGCAAATTTGGCCTTGGAGTACAGAATGAAGCAGGGCAAAGGCTAATAGAGTTCTGCCAAGAGAATGCACTGGTCATAGCAAACACCCTCTGCCAACAACACAAGAGAAGATTCTACACATGGACATCACTAGATGGTTGACATTGAAATCAGACTGATCATATTCTTTGTAGCCAAAGATGGAGAAGCTCTATACAGTCAGCAAAAACAAGACCAGGAGCTGACTGTGGCTCAGATCATGAACTCTTTATTGCCAAATTCAGACTGAAACTGAAGAAAGTGGAGAAAACCACTAGACCATTCAGGTATGACCTAAATCAAATCCATTATGACTCATGGAAGTGAGAAATAAGATTTAAGGGACTAGATCTGATAGACAGAGTGTCTGATGAACCACGGATGGAGATTCATGACACTGTACAGGAGGCAGGAATCAAGATCATCCCCAAGAAAAAGAAATGCAAAAAAGCAAAATGGCTATCTGAGGAGGTTTTACAAATAGCTGTGAAAAGAAGAGAAGTGAAAAGCAAAGGAGAAAAGGAAAGATATTCCCATTTGAATGCAGAGTTTCAAAGAATAGCAAGGAGAGTTAAGAAAGCCTTTCTCAGTGATCAGTGCAAAGAAATAGAGGAAAACAACAGAATGGGAAAGACTAGAGATCTCTTCAAGAAAATCAGAGATACCAAAGGAACATTTCATGCAAAAATGGGCTCAATAAAGGACAGAAATGGTAGGGACCTAACAGAAGCAGAAGATAATACGAAGAGATGGCAAGAATACACAGAAGAACTGTACCAAAAAGATCTTCACGACCCAGATAATCACGATGGTGTGATCACTCACCTAGAGCCAGACATCCTGGAATTCGAAGTCAGTTGGGCCTTAGGAAGCATCACTACGAACAAAGCTAGTGGAGGTGATGGAATTCCAGTTGAGTTATTTCAAATCCTGAAAGATGATGTTGTGAAAGTGCTGCACTCAATATGCCAGCAAATTTGGGAAACTCAGCAGTGGCCACAGGACTGGAAAAGGTCAGTTTTCATTCCAATCCCAAAGAAAGGCAATACCAAAGAATGCTCAAACTACCACACAATTGCACTCATCCTACACGCTAGTAAAGTAATGCTCAAAATTCTCCAAGCCAGGCTTCAGCAATACGTGAACCATGAACTTCCATATGTTCATGCTGGTTTTAGAAAAGGCAGAGGAACCAGAGATCAAATTGCCAACATCTGCTGGATCATTGAAAAAGCAAGAGAGTTCCAGGAAAACACCTATTTCTGCTTTATTGACTATGCCAAAGCCTTTGACTGTGTGGATTACAATAAACTGTGGAAAATTCTGAAAGAGATGGGAATACCAGACCACCTGACCTGCCTCTTGAGAAACCTGTATGCAGGTCAGGAAGCAACAGTCAGATCTGGACATGAAAAAACAGACTGCTTCCAAATAGGAAAAGGAGTACCTCAAGGCTGTATATTGTCACCCTGCTTATTTAATATATATGCAGAGTACATCATGAGAAACGCTGGGCTGGAGGAAGCACAAGCTGGAATCAAGATTGCCAGGAGAAATATCAAAAACCTCAGATATGCAGATGACACCACCCTTATGGCAGAAAGTGAAGAACTAAAGAGTCTCTTGATGAAAGTGAAAGAGGAGAGTGAAAATGTTGGCTTAAAGCTCAACATTCAGAAAACTAAGATCATGGCATCCGGTCCCATCACTTATGCAAATAGATGGGGAAATGGTGGAAACAGTGGCTGACTTTATTTTTCTGGGCTC